TGGGGACCCTGGAGCCCAGTCAGGCAAGGGACCAAGGGAAGGGAGTCTGAAATAGTAGGAGTGGAACCATTGCAAACCCAAGGGAACTTTTTATTCATTTACTTGTTCATTCAACCAATAAACTGTCTTGAACACCCACTCTATGTCCAGCTCAGATTCACAGAAGCCAAGGACACACAACTCATGCCTTTGAAAAACATCCAGTCCAGTCCAGTGGGGGAGAGAGGCATGTAAACATGCCTCAGTTTCCCCTTCTATAAAATCAGTGGCTTGAGCGCCTAGACACTGCCAAGCACGTGCTGCAGCCAGACAAGAAAGCACAATTGACCCTTACTCTGTGCGAGGGCTTCCTGTGGCTTCAGCAAAGGAATGCTGCTGGCAGCCTCACCTGGAAGCCTGGTTTCATCCTCTCTAGGTCAGAACCAGTCAAGGGGCACATAAGTGTGCTGGGCACTGTGCTGAGCCATGCTGGGACCCAGAGTTGGATCGGAATTATTTCCTCAAAGTCTCTCCCCATCTCAAAAGGGAAACAAGCATGCTAACAACCAACTCCATCACAAACAGATTAGAATCATGGTACAGGACAGGACAGGAGAGGGCCAGGTGCTTCAGGAGCTCAGAGGAGAGGTTTTGAGAGGAGAAGACATTCGAATGGGCCTTGAAGGATGAGTAGGAGTTTGTCCGGCTGAGAAGGAGGAGTTGTGAGGGACCTCCCTGGCAAGTCTGGTGAAGACAGCCCTCCACATGAGGCTGAAGACAAAAAAAGCAAAAAAACCAAACAAACCTAGGAGCAAAGCCTACCCGTTTGTGCAGCTCCAAGGAAAGCTACTAGTCCCAAAGCTCCCTTTTGCATCTGTCCTGAGTACTTTGAAAGGAGTGAGCTGGCTGTGGAGAGAGACAAAGTTGGGAGCAGGGCCTGTCCATCAGATATGCACTATCAGTGAGCTGAGAAATCAGAAATGCCAGTGGGTGGGATTGGGCCTGGAGCCACATGGGGACAGACAGCCTGTATACAGCAGTCCTTCCAAACCACACTTCTGTCTGTCCATCCAGTCCTCTTGGACTCCTCAAGAGGCAGCCAAGACACGGCTCACTGTCCCTGTGGAGCCCAGGAAGACACTAAGGCTCAAACAGAGAGAGCCACCAGTGGAAGGCCATCAGGAAGGCCATCAGGAAGGCAGGCCCGGGTCCAGGGCCTCCTGCAGGGTTTATAAGGAAAAAACGTGGGCATGGGGCTTGGTGTTCACCTCCAGCTGGGGACCAGGTTGAGGGACGGGGGAGGTAGGGTCTCTTCAGAGAGTGATGGATGGAAGGCTACTGAAAACAGACCAAAAGGAGGCCTCTGCTGGCAGCTGAACCAGGTTCCATGAGCTGTGGATGTGGGCAGAAGAAAGGAGATCCCCAGGGCAGGGTTGACATTTCCTTCTGCAGAGAGAGCCCCAGGACCTTAAACCTGCAAACCCTGCTGAGGGGAGAGGAATGAAGGGAGCATGGCTGTGGGTAGGGAACAGAAGGGATGACTTCTTTCAGGGAACCCTAAGGCACATTCCTCAGGAAGCTCCTCTCCCTCCCCACCCCTCCTTCCCCTGGCTGAACCCCCTCCTCCTGTCCTCCTCTGTCCTCCTCGGAGAGCCCAGCCCCTCATTGCACTTGGGAGGAGCTTTACCAGGGGAAGGCAGCCTTTGATGGAAGGGGATGACATTTGGCCATGTCATTGCTGTCAGTCCCCAGGCATTAAGGACCTGTACCTCTCTGGGAAGCACCCACTAGGTCTCCAGATGTTCAGTCAGGGCCACTTCCTCCCACCCAATCTTTACTGCAGGTGGTCCTTAGACTGGAGTCTCCCATAAAGGTAGCTCTCTAGTCACCATCCCCCTCCCCTCCCATCTCTTAGTTGCAGCCTGGTGGGTGAAGGCCACAGCCACTCTGAAACCCAACAATCCAGGCTTTTAGCCCAAGCCTGTGCCCTTGGGCAAGCCCCAATTTCTTCCCTTCCAGAATTGTTCTGAGGATCCTGTGGACTAAGGCATGACAGGGCTCCTCTGCCCCCAGTCAGTCCCCAGCAAGTGCTCCACAAACACTAGGGACCCTTGCCCTGTTATCAAAGCTAGTCATTAATATCCATTTCTAGAAACACTGGTTCATTCGCGTTTATTTACCAAGTTCTCAGACATTTGACAAATATTCCCACTAGTCACAGGAACACGCATTCTTTGGCCTCATTAAAAAGCAATCCCTTCCTTAATATTGATGGATGGCCGGCTAATTCACTGGTGATTGATGCTGCATTTGGAAACACCTTCCAGGGTAGCCTCTGTGTGCAGCCTGCAATCACCACAGGGGTGGGGACAGAGCCCACAGCCTGTGCAATGTGATGTTCTTACCCCCACCACAAACATCCCCCACCCACCCTACCGAGGTCCCTTCCTGTGAGGACACAATGCCAATGGTGGTGGTGGCAAGGTGGCCTAGGTGGGCGTGGAGCTTTGAGCCCTCCCCTCTCCCTTGTTCCGTTTCCTCTTTTATAACATGGGAATAGTGAGGCCATCCACGCCCTCAGAGCTACAGTGAAAATCAAATTAATGACAAAGAAAGGGATTGTCTAGGAGCCCTAGGTATGGGAAAAGACAGCAGAATGAAACATTTTCCACTCTGGGGAAATCTTTTAAAATACAGTGTCTCCAGCCACAGAGGGCAACCTAGGAAGTCCCCAAAAGGAGCGACAAATTTGGCATGTCCTTCCCATACCGTGGAGTCGGGATGAGGGACACAGACATCATTGACTTTTAGTCTGAGGGTTTGGCCAATGCTAGCCAGGCCTCCTGTGTGGCCTGAAGTTGGCAGATGCTGCCACTTCCACAAAGAGTGAATGGTTTGGGTACCAGCCTCCCTTCCATGTCAGCCTTTGCCTCCTGGGAATGCAGAGTGAAGAGGTCCAGGTGGCTCCTGACCTGGGACCTTGCTGATCTGGCAGGGGCCTGGAGTAGAAAATGGTGGAGAGCCTGGGATAGCTAGACCCTCTGTTCCCATCACTCTGGAACAAAAATCCTCAATCACTGTGATTTATTGAGCACCTACTATGTGATGGGCAAGGGACTGTATATGCACCACCTCTCTTAATCCTTATGATAACCTTGAAAGGCAGGTTACTATCTCATGTGGCAGATGTAAGGGCTAAGGCTAAGAGAAGTGTATGAACTTGTCCAAGGTCACAAAGCTAGGCAATTGGGGTGGGGGTTGGGGGGTGCCAGGACTCAAAAATAGGACTGCCTGGCTCTCCTGCCTCACCCATTAATCACTGTCCCACATAGCCTCGGCTTGACCTCAAGAAATACGAGGAGAGAGAATAGGAGATGATGGTCACACTCACACTTGAGACCTGTTTGCCCAATAACGGGCAGGAGCTGTCACAGTGGAGCAGTGAGAGAGGGTGAAGACTGACTCCAGGGTGTAGGAGTGAGGATAAGGAGTAGAGAATTCTGGCCTTTGATCCCTAGCCTGAGATCTGGTTCAGGGAGGGAGGAAGGGAGAAGGGAGAAGAAAAGTGAGAACTTCCATTCAAGGCACAGATTTCATCTACCCCACCCCACCACCCACACAGAGAGAGACAATGGATCTAGCACTGGGATCCCCAGCCAGCCACTTGGCAGCCTTGATCCTGCAGAGATGGGGATGCTCGAAGAACCTCCCAAAGTTATTGTGAGGATCAGATGTCCTTGAGGCTCGGAAAGCAGAACAAGCCATGGATTCTCACTTCTCCCTGAAATGTGTCCAGAGTGAACGTAGTTGGGATGTGGGAGGGGGGCCTGCCCTGGGGGTGGATGAGGGCCAGGGGAAGAGCATAGCTTCACCTAGCTGGTCTCCCCACCTCTGGGAACAAATCTTCCTTTCATTTATTTGTTTGCCTGGCTGGTTGTTTGTTTAGTTGGTTGGTTGGCTGCTTTGGTACAAAGTGGGCAGGCCTTGAGCTTCCTCAGCGTTGAAAGCCTTGCTTGGACAGATCATCCCAAGCTGGAAAGTGCTCTTTTGACAGGGCTGGGGGAGGGGCAGGGGAGGACACAGGCAGGAAGAGAGCAGTCCTCACCCTCCCTGCACCCCTGCAGGTACTCTGAGGAGGAAACCCGGCAGAAGGTCAGGACTTTCCGGCAGATGCTGATGGAGAAGGAGGGAATGCTCACGAGGGAGGACCGGCCTGGAGGCCACATGTGAGTGCCACCTGTGTGGGGGCAGGGGAAGGGAGGGTGCAGGCTCAGACGCAGCTGGGTGCCAGAGGGGCCTTTCCAAATGCTCCTTCTGAGGGTTGGAGGTCTGCAAGGAAGAGAAGCTAGACATGAACTCTGTCCACTGGAAGCTCCAGCCTGGCCCAGGCACAAGGCGGGACACCAGGGCATCACTGGCACCTGCCCCTGCTCCCTGGGTTCTATCTATGGCCCAACAGTGGGAGAGGCAGCCCAGATCTCAGGTCAGGGAATCATAGGCTAAAATCAGGAAACCTGATAAATGTTCTGACCCCAAGCACTGTCATAGGTTGACAGTGGGACCCCAAGGTAGTCCCTGTGCCCCAACTCTTACCACCCATACAATGGCCTCCAGAGTAAACATGTACTCTCGAAAGCAGGACTCAACACACCAAATGCCATTGTTAACGTGGCCAAAGTCTTGTCAGAGAAAGAGAGCACGAGCTGGTGTGTGTGTGTGTGTGTGTGTGTGTGTGTGTGTGTGTGTGTGTGTGTGTGTGTTTGTGTGTGACATCTCTGTACCTGTCATAGGGCAGGAGACACCTGTCACAAGACTGGTGGGTTACAGGCCCCCAGGAGGGCTTTGGATAAACAGGGAAGTTATAGGGAGGTCAACATTGTCTCATTTAGAGAAGAATTGGGAACCACTCAAAACTGTACAGAATGGAGCAGACTGCCATAGGAGGGCGGGACGGCCTGTCCCAGAGTGTCCAGGCATGTCTGGATGGCCAGATGCCTGGCAGGCAGTGTGCACTGGGTGTCACTGAATTCACTCTGATCGATCTTCCCCTTGCAAAGCCTCAGTGTCCCTGCCCCGTTGTGGCATTCCCTGCTTCTTACCTCACTTAAACCTCCCCTCTCTGGCCTGGGTAGGAGTGAAAGCAAAGTCAGAGCAGCCTCAGGCTTGTGGGGGGTTCACAGGTGACGCGGGGAGCCAGGCCCAGTTGGCCTCTCCCTCTTCCTCTCTGGTGGGAATAGGTGATGCCACCACGAACTCCTTCTCTCCAGCCCCCCGGAACTCCCAGCAGCCCTCCCAGCTCCTGTGCCTTCCCCCTCATGCCAGCCAGTTCCCTACAAAGCAAGGCCAGCCCTTCTCTTCCTCTCTCAAATCTCCTGGTAAACAAGATCCTCCTGCTGCTGCCTGCACCACCTCCAAACCCAACAGGGCCTGGCTTTCGGACTGGTGCCCCCTCAAATCACCCAGGACTCCTCTGGAATTCATCTGCCCTTTCCCCTCCGACCAGTGTGAGGGTGTGAGGCCTCCTCTGGACTCTACCTGCCACCTTCCCTGGGCCCTTCCAGCTCAGGCCTGCCCTTCCCCTTTCCCCTGGGCTCTTTCCTATTAATCTAGTTATTGTCCTTCCTCAATTCTGCTTTCTCCTCCAGCTACCAGCCCACATTTTTCTCTCCTTTCTCAATCAAAAATGTTTAAAATATATTTTTATTGATTTCAGAGAGGAAGGGAGAGGGAAAGATAGGAACATCAATGATAAAAGATAATTATTGATTGGTTGCCTCCTGCACACTCCCTACTGGGGATTGAGCCCACAACCCAGGCATGTCCCCTTCCCTAGAGTCGAACCAGGGACTCTTCAGTCCATAGGCCGACGCTCTATCCACTGAGCCAAACCAGCTAGGGCTCAATCAAATTTTTCTGGAATGTGTGGCATGCATTGCCTCCACTTCCTTAAGCCATGAAGATGTGGTGACTTGCTCAGGCTATGGCCTCTACCATGCTGTGGGCCTGACCTCCCTGGCAGTTTGTTTCCACCATTATGCTTCCCCTTCTGAAAACCTACTTTCCCCCCTGGCCTCCAGTATGCAGTTCTCTGGGAATTCCTCCTGGCCCTCTGATGGCTTCTGCTGTCTCCCTTATTTCTGCCCACTTCCTAGATGTTGGTGCCCCTCCCCCTAAGGTTCTGTCACGCCCTCAGGTCTCTTCCTTCCTTCTGCCTTCCCTCTTCTCCTGGGGGAATCTTATCCCTTCTACAGCTGAACGCTCTCCTGTTAGTGGATGATTCCCAGGTCTTTTCCAGGAGTCTTGATCTTATCTTTCCTTACGTGAACGAACAAGTGAATGATGCATTTAAGAACTGGGACGCACTGAGAAATACGCCATGGGAGTGTTGCAGTGTCTCCACCATCAAAAGAAATGTCCTTGAGGATCTGTGCTGCATGCCTAACTCTGAGCTAGTGCAACGAGGAGGGAGAGGGAGGGGGAAGACGTGCCTCCTGCTCTCTGGGTGGGAACACAAACCTGAAACCTGAAACCAGGAATTACTGGCAGCTCCTGACAATGTGGCCACTTGAACCTTTCAGCCCTGTGCATGTTCAGTTGGAAAACTGAGGGGGACAGGCTAGGGGTGTCAGTCAGGAAAGGGTCCTTGGAAGACTTGACAGTCAGGGAGAGCTCCTGGTCTGGAGGCAGAAGACAAGGTAGACTTGGCAGGATCCTGGGACCCCACTAGCACATGAACTTCACGAAGGTAGGATCTTTTATCAGTTTTGTTTACTGCTATATCCCTGGTGCCTAGAACAAGGCAGCTTGCCCATCTTCCCTGAAGCCTCAGTTTCCTCCTTTACACAGGAAAGGGGATTGACCAGAAGGCTTCTTTTAGTTCAGGCAGCCAGTATGGTGTGAAAATGTCACTCCAAAAAGTGACTATAGGAAACTAAGGATTGCTGATGGTGCGCCCTAGATAACTCAGGGGCTGGGAGGAGCTGTTTGTGGTGCTGAACACAAGGCCAGAGGCACAGAGATGAGATTGGTCCTGTACATGCATTATTGTAGACGTTCAATCCTTAGCTCAGAGTGCGGGGTAGTGGAGGGAGAGTGCAGGCTCTGGTGTCAGACACTCCACCTGTCCAAACCTTTAAGTTCAATGTTAACCGCCTGGGCTATGGATTTCTGCTCCACCACACCCCAGCTGTGCGACTTAAACAGGTCCCTAACTTCTCTGGGCTTCCACCTCTTTACTTATAAAATGGAGATATTAGTACCTACCTCATAGGACTGTTGAGGAAATTATATGAGACAATGAATGTAAATGTGAAGAATAGTCACTAGCACACAGCAGACATGTATCACCAATAGATGACCAGCACCACTATCTTAGTCAGCTCAGGCTACTATAACAAAAATACCAGAGATTGGGTGGCTTTGTTGTATAACAACAAAAACTTGTTTCTCACAGTTCTGAAGGCTGGAAGTCTGAGATCATGGTCAGGTTCAGGTGAGAAATGTGTTCTGGGTTGTAGACTGCGACCTTTTTATATCCTCACATGACAAAAAAAGAAAGCTAGCTCTCTTGTCTCTTCTTATAAGGGCACTAGTCCCATTCATGAGCGCTCACCCTCATGACCCAATTACCTCCCAAAGACCCTGCCTCCTAATACCGTCACATTGGGATTACAGTTTCAACATATGAATTTGGAGGGGACACAACATTCAATCCATAACATCCACGATCCCCATGATCACAGGGAAGCCTGGCAATGGTGAGTGTTAGATTGATCTTAACTTATTCCCCTCTGCCTGAGTTTCTCCACCCTCTCTGCCAACAGTGAGATTCTCTCAGGGATTTATAAAGCCCTCTGACCACCCAGCAGTCCGTGCTCATGCCTTTGGCTTCCTGACCCTGATACCCCACACGCACTCATAGACGGGTAATTTGAGATGTGTAGAAATTCAATGCCCTCTCAGAGTAAGATGACAAAGAAGAGCCAGCTGAAGGGTTTCCACCGTGTGTGTGTGTGTGTGTGTGTGTGTGTGTGTGTGTGTGTGTGTCTGATTTTAACTGTCTACAAACTGTAAGAGCCCATGACAACTCCCACTCAGGAAAGGGTCTCAACAAAGACAGAGTCACTCCCAGCTTTTTATCCCCAGGGATCATCAGTCTTCCTTAAGTTGATTGACTGGTTTGAGTGACAGTCTCTTGGGGCAGTCCCACCTCAACCAACACTCCACCTGTCTACCCTCCATACTGGACACCAGAACATCACACTGCTGCAGTCTCTGGATGTGATCCCGTAGATGGTGGGAGCCAGTGGAGGGTGTGATGTGGTCAGACAGGTGCGTGGAAACTTTACCCTTTGAAAGATGATCAGACGGATGAAACTATGGAGAGAACAGTGGAGCAGCTGGGGGAGAGGTGATGGAGAGAAACAGTGAGGTCTGAGAGACCTGGAAACTTTTGTCTTTGGAAATGATTGGTGTGGGGAGTCCTATTTTGCCCCCAAAACCTTCTGTAGGTTCTTCATCATCCATGCAATCAAGTCTGGACTCCCTGCCCTGGCATTCAAGGCCTCCACACACTAGACCCAGCCTGGTCTCCCACTCTCGGCATCACACAGCAGCCAGCCTGACCTACTGGCAATTCTCAGCTATGCCCTGTATGTTCTCACTCCCATATCTTTCCTCATTCTGGGCCCTCAGCCTCAAACACTCTAGCCTTTTCTGCACAGACTCAAAACACCCCATCATCCAAGGCTGCATCTAAAAACCACTTTGCCCATATTGCCAGGATAAAAGTAAAACCTTCTCTTCTTTGGAATGCATATGATTTCTTGGGGCTGCTGTCAGTTCTTTTTTCTTTTTTTACTCTAATAGACAATGACAACTTTTAAGAATAATTGTTTCCATAGTTTTATAATACAACAAAATGTTTGGAATAGAGGGTATATAGAGAACAAAATTCATAAGCTACTTTCTAACACGGTGAGAAAATTCATCTTTTCTTTCTGTGCATCTAATTTTAGATGGAGTGTGACCGCTCTGCGCCTCATTATTTTACCTGTAAATGGGAATATTAATGGTGGTACCCACATCAGAGGCTTGTTCTGAGCATTAAATGATTAAATACATGTAAAGTGCTTAGAATAGTACCTGGCACTTGCATTAGTAATTATAATATGCACAGTGTTATATTTTTGCCCGGCATTTTGAGAAGATAGAGGAGAGGCCTCGGGCCTGACTCATCTGTTTTCCTGCCGTCACTAAACCCCACAACCCCCCTACCTCCAGGCCCCTGGCAGGCCTGGCACACTGGCTGAGTGAATGAGCAGGAGCAGAGAGGGCAGAGCCTCTGCCCCTCTTCTGTCTGGACTCATTCATCTGTCAATTGGCCATTATGCTCCTGGATAATGGAAAACAGAACCAGTTAATTAGCAAAACTGCTGGCGGGAAGAAGGGCACGTGACAGGCGGGCTTTTCCCAGGTCAGAACCTTGCCTGTGGCAGCCCGTCCAGCATGTGTCCTGTGCAGTGCTGTGTTCATCCTCGATGTGTTCTTGGTCCCTCTGCAGTGGACTCTTTGGGCCTGCTTTGGTCAGTTACCTGGGCTTGATTTGTTCTGTCCCAGGGAGGAATGCCTCCCCTGCCGATTTCATGGACGTGCTGAGAAGTAAACTAGACCACAAACATGAACTTAAGAGTAGGAAATGTTAAACAAATCTATAGCTCAGTACACAGCCCCTCAAATGTGTCTACAAAGTAGGAAGGGGACAGCTGAGCTAACATCTACAGCAGGGAAGCCCAGCCGCTAAGTCAAGGGCTATCCTGTTTGCACATGACTTCTCAAAGCCAATTGCACAGGTGAACTCACATTCTTTACTCAAAGGTCCCAAACCATAGGGGATGTTCCTTAACCTCTCTGGGCCTCAGTTTTCTCATCTATAAAATGGGGGGAGGGACAATTTTTCTAAGTAGCTCTACATGGGATTTGTGAACTGCAAAGAACTATTTAAACATTAGAAAATGTTGTTAGTGATATTGTCATCTAGGAAAGGCAGGATAGGAGAACCCTGGGAGATCTTGCAAAGCAGATGTGGTGGTACCAGCCCCACAAAACTAGCAAAAGAGGCCTACTCCCATTGACATCCCTGGAACTCCCAGAACAAGGCTTACGAGAAGGTTCTGAGACTTTGTGCCTCTCCCTGAGCCTGCTACTCATACCCTGTGCCTGCTCGCAAGTAAACCTCTCAGAAGGGACTGAAGAATGAGAGAGGCCAAATGGCAAGGCCCTAGGGAGGGAGGATGGGGTAGAGGGGAGAGAGTTCTGTCCCAGGACAGAGGAAGAAAGCGGGTGGCCAGCAGACTAAGGGGGGCACAGTGAGGGGTGGGGCTCAGTGAGGGCCTACACTCAGTGGCTCACTCAGCTAGGATGTTAGGAGGCAAGAAGGGCTCCCCGCAGAAGGCAGTGCCCAAACTGAGCTGCTTTATTTTGTCAATAGCCGTCCTCATTTTTGTGTCCAGATAAGCGGAAGCCCCCTCTCTCACTGGCTCCAAACAACGTTGGAATGCCCTTACGTTTTGCTAAAGACTATCTTTTATGTGTCAGGCATTTGTGTGGCTGAGGGCTGTGGGGGGTGAGTTGGGGATTTCAGGGACAGGGACAGGAGGCGGGAGGCCACTAGCTTCAGGAGAGGAGCGTGGGGAGAGCACAGAGGTTTGAGTGAAGGGATGTGGGGGTGTTTGACTCTGTGGGGGTGGGGGGAATGACAGGAGCCTCTCCCCCATCACTCCAGAAAAACCTCCTGTACTACCTGGATGACTTCAAGGCTGCCAGGGTCACGTTAGGGAGCCGAGTGGCATCACTGAGATTCTAGATTAGCAGATTGCCGGAGACTTGCTTCTGAAGACTCTTTTCCCTCCGTCGCTGTGGTCTGCCTTTCTTGTCCTGTATCTCTTTCATGTGTCACAACTGCTTTTCTCCCTGCAAGAGGAGGTGTTGGTGTGTGAGTGTCAGCCTGAGCTCCCCATCTAACAGTGGTAACCGTGTGTGTGGGGGGGGGGGGGGGGGGCCAACGGGACAACAGGAGCTTCAAAGACAGAATCTCACTTAATCCTCTCCTCAAAGCTGGGATATTCTTTCCTCGTTGGATAGATAAGGACCTTGAGGCTCAGTGAGCTTGGTCATGCCTGGATTCAGACCTGTCTGTGTGAATCCAAAGCTCATGTCATGTTTTTAACACTCTGCCATCCAAGTCCTGGCCTCTCTCTCAGGGCAGGGGAAGAATGAGCCAAGTGAATGGAATCCAGCCAGGTGAGGGCTGGATTAGGGGTGCAATGAGGGAGAGTAACTGAGCCTCCATGCAGGAAGGGCATTGTCTGAGCCAGCATGGAATGGAAAATAGTGGGGGTGAAGCGGGGGGCACCACCCTGGAACCGGTACCCTGGAGCTGGGCTTTTAGAAGGTGGCTTCTGGGCGTGTTTACTAAAAAGCAAAGTTGCAAAGCACCGGTAACCTCAGCGAATTCTCCCAAGGCCCTATAACAGTTATCACTCTCATCTTGGAGAAGAGGTTCAGAGAGGGGGCAGACAGGCACCAGGCCATACAATGACTTAGGGTCTGTGTGTGATGATGGCACAACTGCAGCTTCAAAACCCATGCGCTTGCCTTAAGTCCAGCTGCCTTTTGGAAAAAAGCATCATTCTCTGACATGCCCGCAGGGCGCAAACATCTGGCTGACGGCTGGGCTCCTGAACCAAGAGCAGGGCCAGGACCACCAGGGGCCCTGCTGAGTGTAGGGGAGAGCTCTGCAAGATGGATGGGGAGCATCCGAGGCTGAGCGCTGCCGCCAGGCAGTGATTGATGACAGCTCGGCAGCAGAAGAGCAAGGAGGCCTCCGGAGGCTGGAGGCTGCGGAGAGGAGGGCGAGGGGAAGCTATGAATATTTTAGAGACAGCCAGGGCTGGAGGAAGGAGGGGTGTGGGGGAGGGAGGCAGTCGGGTGGGCAGAGGGAGGCAGCTCAGGGACTGGGACAGCGGGGTTTGGGAAAACCTTATCAGTGAGGGGGGGGGGGCTCAGTGAGGGAAAAGGAAGGCTGGAGAGGATGAGCGGGCTTAGAGAGGGGAAAGGGGCTGGAGAATGGGGCAGTGAGGGTAAAGGGGACAGGGATCCGTGAAAGGGGCTCAATGGGGGGTGGGAAAGAGGGCTGGATTGGGGGTGCAATGAGCGGGACTAAGGGACAGAGTCTGTGCAGGAAGGGGCCTCAATAGGGGAGGGCCTCACTCAGGAGGGGGGGCTCACTGATGAGAGAGGGAGAGCTTGTAGAGGGTACTTAGACGGGGAGGGCTCCCTGCTCTTTTTTCTCTTTCACAAAATATGGCACCGTTAAGGCTGGGAGTCCTGTAAGGAAGGCTCCCAGCGGAATTCCCCAAATCCCCGCCTGCCCCTCTGGGTTGAGGCTGCAGACCCCGGAGCCGGCCGCACCCCGCCTCCCTTGGACCGCTGGGGCGGAGCAGGC